TCAGGAACCTGGCAGGGGCTATGGAAGCTTGGAGACTAGAACCCTTGCCGACGCCACTAAACGAGAGCAACTGTGAACAGACTTACTTGGGTTTGCTCTAAACACAACTCCCACCAGCTCAAAATATAATAAAGCATGACATCAATGCGGCCTGGTAACACCATCAGATACAAGAGATTAGGTCCCTCTGCTCCAGTAAGGAAGTAAGAGGGAAATTAGAAGAAAATCAAAAGTAACAAATTGGAAGAACTGCAGAATTGGAGAAAAGGAAAAAATAAGGCATAGAAAAAAGTATATGGATGGACAAAGAAAGTGCATATATAACTAGCAGAAGGGGCATATAGAAAGGGGCATGGATGGTAGAACAAGTGGCATAAAGAAAGGGGCATGGATGGTAGAACAGTGGACATATAGAAAGAGAGCATGGATTGGTAGAAGAAGGGGCATGTGGAAGAAAGAATTAATAAAAATTGAGCATGGATGAGGAAATTGAATATAGAAAGGGGTGAATAAGGGGCATAGAAAGGGAGATGTAGGGGATGTGATACATGTATAACTCCTTTCACAGGCACACTTCACACAAACAGTCACACACAAACAGTCAACACAAACACGCTGCTGCATTCACACAGACACTCCATACAAATATACCCTTACATTAATAAACAAGTCCACAGACCCACGCACATAATGCTGTGAACATGACATTTATTAATATACCAAATGCTGTTCATGCTGTTACATTTTAGGACTAGCCTACTTAGATAGAGTTAAGATTGTGCAGGTGCATTTCCACTATCAAGGGTTCCAGCTACAAAGGTGATCTTCTATTATTAGATAAACTATCTGTGATACTTACACATTTTAATTAGACCTTTTTTTTAAATTGCATAAAACTAGCTTGAGGAAAAAAATTGATGTTTCCTAGCAATTGGGCATTTAGTGCTGGATTCTCTCGCAGAATAAAGGTGTACTCTGCTTGCTGCATAGACGTCAATAGAAGAGAATCCAGATCAAAGTGCACACAGGTTTTGTAATACGATTATGTACCTATTTGTTCTATAAAAAAAAAAAAAACAATTGATTAGGTCCTCCAAAGATATTTTTGAAAATGTAAAATTCTATCTGTATCACCTCCAAATTTTCTAAAAAATTAGACTGATCTAGTGACTGCTTGGATGAACAAAGCTCAAGTTTTGATAAAAGGCGTCACTCACAAAAGCAAGACACTACAAATTACCGTAAGTCCAATTCAAAAGATGCTGCAATACTTCACTATTATGCATCAGATACACAGAAGAGCAGAAGGACTGTATAAAAGGTTTAACTTGGTGGCCTTTTTTAGCCGACAGGACTGTTAGTGAGCTGTATATAAAATGAAATTATTTACACCGCGATTAGTTATTTAAAAGTTCCACAACAGATGCCCATTAGTGGGCGATGCCCCATGTTATTTCATAGGCTCCATCCTTATGGGATGTGGCTTTTCTAGAGACTGGAGAGCAATGGCTGCCCAGTTACTAGTTTTAAAAGTTTAGCAGACATGTTAAACCTTCCTTATTGTAAAACAGGAGTCTTATTGACCCCCCATAGGATTTTTTTTAAATGTATTTTATTTATTTATTAGCTATTTAATGTGGCAGCTGGCTAAGAAGCGCTGGCTTGCACTGCCAAAGGTTTTTATCTATTTACTTGCTGGTTCCTAATGCTACCAGTGATCAAATAGTTGAGATTATTCTTTTTTAAATCCAGGCATGGACTTGAAGCCTACAGACAATGTGTGCACTCATAGATGCATACACTGTGTCTTAAACACATATATGCATACTGAGCTAAATAACCACACATATAAAATGCACTTTTTTATATTACTTATAAAAGAGTGAATGCAATGAACAACAATTTTAAAATACCATGGTATATATTTTTTTTTTTGGTGGTACTATTTTGGCTTGTAAAAGTGCAGAAGTGATGTGGACAAAAAAATAACAGAGGTAAAACATGTGAAAACATAAAAGAAAGCCAACTTTGTTTCCTTTATGTAGTGAGAAAGGTTTTAATCCGTGTGAATAAAGACATTCTCTTATCTGAACTTAATGTGCTATGATAGTGTAACACACAAATGAATGGATAATCTGGCTCTGCTTAGAGTAAATGGTTCATTTTACAGCAAACTAAGCAAATTCACAATCACTGTGTTATAAAATAAGCATTCTGCCACTTGGTTTTAATTCATTGAACATACAAGGATTCTGAGCAAGATGAATCCAAATGATATGTTTATTGTTCTAACACATGATGGTGATAATACAGGTTTTATAATTAGTCACTGATGCATGAAAAATGATTGAAAGATGATGGAACCATATTAAAATAACACATATTGGGTTAAGAATCAGAAGTATGCTAAAGTTAGACAAGGGTAGAAAATGTAAGATTCTCCACTTGTCAAGTGAACTTGTGTGAATGATAACGTGGACAATTCACTTTGCCAAAGTGCAGTAATTTAAATGTTTCATACCCCAATTGAACCCTTAGGAACGCTTGAATTCATTAAAACATTGAAACCAGTAATCACAGAATAAAGGTGCAACTCGGTCATATATGGTACATAGTACAATTCTCCCTTCAGCCTTTAGAACACTATGCCAAGGCTGTTGAGAAACTATTCAATCTAGTCTAGCAGAGAAAAGAAAAACAAATAAAACCTAAATGAAAATCTTACCTGCGCTCTGGCCTAAATCCCTATGTACATTAAAACAAAATAGGGATTTAGGCCAGAGCGCAGGTAACGTTCTCTTTGTTTTTACTATGTGTTTTGAGCTGTTGGATACTAAGCTAATGCTGCTGTAAGCGAGTGCTTTATCTTTGTGTTTCTAAATGAAAATCTAATAAAACCTAAGAGGCATTTTTCTCTAAAAGAGTATTTAAGGAGGAACACCTGCAACTATCTGCTAATATTTCTCATTTTCTGGGAAAGACTGAGGCTTCTGAGTCTGTTTGCATGACTCCATTGGTGTGTCTTAATATTGTTGTTAATTGGAGGATATTGATCCAAGAATTTCTCTTGGAGAGAAACGTTCTGGCAATTTTTTTTTTACTTCATGACTCATGTAGATGTATTGGAGGCCATGAGGAGGCATCGGAACCATTTTTTCTCACAGTTTCATGATGAGCATTATGCCTGACTTTACCAATATATATGCAATCTCATATAGACTTTTGATGGACCAAATTTCAGTAGTCGATGTATAAAATAAAAGGGGGGGTGGGGAATGGGTTTAAGAATGATCTTTTTAAATTAGGGCATGAAAGGAAAATACTTTTTTCAGAGCAAAGCTGACAAGTCAAGATCAATTATTGTAGGCTTAGTTTCTTTAAAAAGTTACCTGGATCCATAAATTCATCATTTGTATTACTAATCAAGTGGATTTTATAGGAACTCTCACAGGAGCAAAGAAAGGAAATCCCATATAGACAAATCTTTAATAACAAGGAAGATACAAGTAAAAATGTAAATCTTTTATGAAAGCCAGTGTTTATTATTATGAGGATAAAGGGTGCTTCTCATCCCTATCCATAATGTTTTATGTGTAAAAATTATTTCTTTGATTTTTTTTTATTTTACTATTTTCTCCAGAATTAAATATTTATAAATAAAATAAATTATATATAGTGATTTTTACATATTTATTACCATTAATAATAAAATAATTACTGTTCAGTATTCTCTATATTATATTATTCTAATATGATTCTTCAAAAATATACATTTCTTGAATTTGAAAATTATAAAAACAAAAAATAAATATTGTTAAAGTGCTGTCTGTGGCTGAGCTGTGTGCAACATTTCCATACAAAGGAAATATCTTTTCTGGAATGAATGACGTGGCTAAAGAGGAAGGCTTATGGTGATGAATTCTGCAAAAAATGTATTCTTTGAGTGCAAACACATTTATGAGCATGCTAAAAACAAAGCACATTAATGAGGCCAAACTCTATCAAATGCAATAAAGTTGTATTGAGACCCAGAGTGTCCCTTTAATGGTATGCTTGCACATGTAACATGTTTAATTGTTAAAATATGGATACTTGATTTATAATACCCATGACAACAATACGTTATGATAAACATTACAGAAGCATATTGAGATGATAGTTATATCTGACCATTTTAAAGGGATACATGGCTTTTATTAGGGACTTGTATGAGGTGATAAATATTACTTTTTTAATGATACGTCCCTTAATGGGACAATATTTTTGTAGGAGTAGTGATGTGGCTGTTTTTGTGGGTTGAGATTTCCATCTGGGTTGAATTATTACTGGATATTTTTAATGAAACAGCAAACATTGGTGAGCATGAGGCACAGCTGCTAATATATTTGGAAAGGGCTGCTAAACTAGGTTAAGTTTTAATTATTTGAATTGGATTTAAATTTGAATTATTCTGTATTTAATTATTCAGAAATGAATTGTACTAAAAGAACACTATATTTATTAAAAAGGGATAGGTTTTGGGGGGCGGAGTCTGACCGCCAAGCCTAACAGACGTGGGGGAGAAGAACTCCTGTCAGGCGGGCAGCATAAAGGGCACACACGGCGGCTACAAAGCCCAAAACTCTCCCAGGGGGCACTACCCAAGTTGGGGGTGCACTCCTGTATCGGGTGATACCTTTCTGGGGCCCATCGGACTCAAGCGACTGAAACGCCGGCTGCGGCCTACTGGAGCAGGAGCCGGAGAGAGGCGGCCTCTCACTCCAGCACCGGAACCCCCACAAGACTTTGTTGCTCTCCTACCCCCCCCCGGACCAGCAGGGGTCATCCCGGTCCCCACTGGACAAGCGGACTCACTTGCAGACGAGGCCAGTTACAAGGCCTGCGAGGGGCACGGGACCACCCATTCAAGAAGGCCGTCCGGCATGGGCCAAAGAAGGGGAACACGAGCAGTCACTTACCCTCTCACCCCCTGGAAAATCTTGATCAGCTATGGTGGCCTCATGGATCCGGCCTACAACTACCCTCTCCTGGCCTTCAAAGCAGCTGCACGGCCACGCAGGCACCGAAAACCGACAATGGGGGAAACAAACTCAAGCTACCCAAGCACATGTACCCGCTACCACTCACAAGCAAGCAAGCCCACCGGGCAACCCTCACGCTCCGGCATCCCATCTGCCCGGGCTACCCCACACAACCCAGCCCTGAAACGCTACCTACCTGGGCCGGGGGTTGACATGAGTTCCCCCAGAATTTACCATCTTCACTCCTCTGAGGTCTCCAGCCATCGCATGCTACCTAAGAACGCAGACAGGAGACCCGTGCCCGCCATCCACGCAGCAGCCTACAAACATCACCTGCCTATCGCAATGCTAGCCTATCCAAGACAGACCTGAGGGGCAGAGGACTGCAGATACCCACCTCACGTCCAACCACCAGAGGCTTCTCACTGCAGTCAGGACTGGAGACATCACAGCTGAACGGCACCCGCGCATTCAAGTTCCAGCACTCACAGCAAACCTACAGAATGGCACACGAGACTACTGGGGAAGCAGAGCGGCTGGACTCCAGCTCAAAGCCGCCAAGAGGCATAGGATGACTCAGCCTTAAACCCCCTGGGCGCGCAGAGTATGGGCCTTATTCATTTTCATTTTATTTTTCTCATTTTTTCCACTAGCCCTCTCTTGACTGACACTGAGCTGCATGATTTTGCTGCATAATTATTATTTGTTTTATTTGTATTATTATTTGCATTATCCATAACTAATCTAAATGCCCAGAGGCAATTAAACATATGCCACACATGACATGTCGCCTAGCTTACATATTAATACTGTGCAATTAAAGAAATGTTCTCTTTTGTACATGATGCGTAAAATCACTTATCTATATGTTGTGATGGTACACAGTGGCAACAGAGCTTTCTAGCCTTGTACACATGTAGTAAGCTAAGTGCGGTTTAAGCAATCCCCCACTATGGTGCTCTACAGTTAAGTCTAACTTGAGTATGCGTGCATAGATATGAATAGGGTTCATCACTATAACGCAGGGACAGCCTCTCGTTACTTTACTATAAATGCTCAACCTGATTTGCTGCAAGTTTACAATGCCAATGACATGATTGACCCCTTACTTAGATAGCAACTACAAGCACATTAAATGTGTTCACACATTATAACTACTTGCTCTAAGCTTGTATTACAACACGCAGTTTAAGTACAGTTAGCATGATGCCTGGATTACCTATATAGGCCTTACGACTAGCAAATGCATACCAGCTGACTCATAGTTTAACCTACACTGTATTTTACTGTTGGTACATTAAGACTAGTTAATGCACTGTTAATTTAGCATGTTACATACCAGTACTTATGATCCATAGCTTGTATTTTCATACTACAGTTTAAACGTTAAACTTTAAAAATGAGGCATCGTTAGTCTGGAAAGGAAACGTACTCTTGCTTAATGATGTATCAACCATGTATTGAAAACCACCCGTACATTTCCCCTGCTTTCTCTTATGTACCCTATCTTATATGCCTTCAATAAAAACAGAGTGACAAAAAAAAAAAAGGGGGGATAGGTTTGGGGCATGATGAAAGATAAATTGACACCACACTTTATGGTGTACAGTACTACTAATTGAGCATTATTGGATTTAGTAAATAAACAATATAGAATATTTATCAGCTAATCAGTTTAGGAAACATATAAGAAATAGTGATTATACCATATTTTTTAATGTATTGAAATAAAATATTATGTGATATTAACAAGAACTCTACAATTTAGAAAAAAAACAAAGCCTAATTTTGTTTTGCAAAAGTAACTTGCGAAATGAGATAACTATGAATAATGTTAGAGTATTCTTGACAAGGGAATCTGTAGGAGTAGACTAGGTCTAAAAGTAGGTAAAAGAAAAAAAAATCTTTAAAAACTGAGCAATCACCAAGGAAGCTAGTAGAATATTCCTGATGAGTGCAGCAGTGCTAGCACCAGTCACCACCTTTACATCACCCATTATTTATACAGGAGAAACCAGCCTGTACATTTCACATTGAACATCTGTTTCTCTTTCTAACAAGTCCTCAACGCATTCTTACTTCCAATTTGTTACCAGACACAGACTCATATTGGTGAGACATGTCCTTTAGAACATGAAACTTCTGGTGTAGTTGATCATAAATTCCTAGGTTTAGATCTTGTTCTCCATCTATCAGTCAGACCCCCCAACAAACACAGTGTCCAAAAGTGCATCTTTCTGGGATGTCTTAAAAATTTAAAAATGACTGTGAGTATTTGTATTAGAGGACAACAACTTATACCATGAGAGCACATGTATAAATACAGTTAATATATTTTGAATTTGAGAATTGAGATTCTTAACCCCTTAACATTCCGTCATGATTCCCTTTTATTCCAGAAGTTGTGTCCTTAAGGGGTTAAAGCTCATTGCAAAACAGTAACTGATTGACCACAGTGTATACATTTATTATTTTTATACATAATTATAACTCAAGTTGCACAAAGTGAACACATAGATCTGGGATTATTTATCAAAATATGTTTACATTCAATCTAATCATTACCATCCCAAGATAAATCAATGTAACCTTTCTTGCAGTAGTCAGAAATATATGACCACATCAGGTATTATGCTGGAATACTGGATAGTTCAAAGGTTTAAGTTAAAACCTTATATATAGTTGCTACAGTTTAGCATAATAAATAGAAATGTATATATTTAGAAAAGAACACTTAGTAGTATCAACTCATGATTGTTTATGTAGTTTTATCTTATTTAATTGCAGGTACATCTAGATTCTAAAAGATATAAAACATCAGAATACAGTCATGGTATATGTAGGAAACATCATTGTCTATATTAAAACAAAAAGAGTTATTAAGGAACTGTAATATAAAAAAATAATTAAACACATGTAAACTTTTACTTATTAATGAACACATTGAATGATGTGCACTTGAAAAACAGTTATTAAAACTTGGATATAGGGACATAATTAATATATTGAAACCAATATATACCTTTTGAGGGGAAATATGTGCATCTGTTAGAAAATCTTCTTTTTTTTATTAAGCCAAAATGTTTTGTGGATCCAAACATATTGGATACTGGGTTTGTTAGCAAAAGTAATATTAAAAAATGATTCAAGCTTCAATAAAGGAGATCTGTAAAATGTGTGATTGACTGTGGAGCAGATAATTTTTTACCACTTGGAGACACATTTAGAGATAATTTCAGACATTGGGAACAGGGCTTTTATCAAACTCTTTGCACAGCTCAAAGTCTGGGCCATGGGGCCTGTTCCTGAGTTCACCACCAGAGCTTTCCCTGAGTCAGCTTACAGGGCCCACCCCCAAATCTGCCCACAAGGATGCAGTGTGTGTAGAGTGAATGCAGTTTGTTTGTGTAGCTAATGCAGTGTATGTGTAGTGTGTATGTGTAATGGATGCAGTGCATGCGTGTAGTGGATGCAAATTGTGTGTGTAGTGGATGCAGTGTGTATTGTGAATGCAGTGTATGTGTTTGTGTAGTGGATGCTGTGTGTAGTGAATGTAGTGTATGTGTGTATTGTATGCAGTGTGTGCAGTGGATACAGTGTGTGTAGTAGATGCAGTATGCATGTATAGTGGATGCAGTGTGTAGTGGATGCAAGGACTATGTAGTGGATGCAGTGTGTCTAGTGGATGCAATATGCAGTGTGTGTTTCTGTAGTGTATGCAGTGTGTGTAGTGGATACAGTGTGTGTTTGTGTAGTGGATGCAGTATTATTATTAATTTTTGTTAATTTGTCTGAAATCTCAAACTCCAAATCACCATATATAAATTTACAAATGAAACGAAACAGCCACCAAATGAGTCAGTTTGTTTATTTTGTGATTCAAAATTCCATTCCTGCCGCAACAAGAAAAGATGATTGATGGAGAAAAAAGATAATTGGCAGTCAGGGATCAGCCACTAAAAACTGGTTTTAATAACAGGACAAGTGAGCAGCGAACAGTAGAGGGGAAGGAGCATTAAAAATATCTTTATTTGCACTTACTGGATTTGTAGCATACTTCTAGTAAACTATTTCCCAAATGGTTACACAATATCAACATTTCAGTCCAAACAGTGGACCTTCATCATTCAATCTATGTGATCAGGGCCGGCCTTAGGCCTGAAGGCGCCCTGTGCGAAAAATCTTTACAGCGCCCCCCTCCATCTTCATACCCCTTTATCCATGTACAGTGTATGTCAATAGGTGTGTAGTGTTTGTATATAGGATTTATTCATTTAATAATTATTCAAAAACAAAAATGATTCCCCCTTCCCTGTTATTACCTTGCAGGGAGATGGGCATGCTGAACTCTGGTGATCCAGTATGCTGGGAATCTGGTCGGCGCCTCCACCGGGTGCAAAACCATAAGTAACTGTCTTGTGAGCTCAGGCACTTAGTGTCAGAGCTTTCCTGTAGTAATCCGTGGCAACGTTCTGATTGGCTGGAGCTCGGAGGACAGCTACATATTGCATTTTGTATGAGAGAGCTCTGCTGTAATAAATCTCATAATAATATGATGTAGTGTGTGGTGTCTGTTTGTGATAGGAGTGATGGCTGTGTGTGATATGAATGCTATGTGTTGCTGTGTGTAATATTTGTAATTGTTGTATTGACTGTGTGTGACATGTGTGTATTGGATGTGTGATATGTGTGCTGATATGAAGAGCAGAGGTCGTGTACTGGTAGGTGGGGAGCAGGAGGAATAGTGGAGGAGGGTGGGGGAGCAGCGGTAGTATAGTGGTAGGTGGGGGAGCAGGGGGCACAGTGGTGGTAGGTGGGGGAGCAGGGGGCACAGTGGTTGTAGCTGGGGGCACAGTGGTGGTAGCTGGTGGAGCAAGGGGTACAGTGGTGGTAGGTTGGGGAGCAGGGGCACAGTAGTGGTAGGTGGGGGAGCATAGGTAGTGTAGTGGTAGGTGGGGAGCAGGGGGAGCAGGGGGCACAGTGGGTAGCTGGGAAAGCAAGGACACAGTGGTAGCTGGGGGACAGTGGTGGTAGCTGGTGGAGCAGGGGGTACAGTGGTGGTAGGTGGGGGACCAGGTGGCACAGTGGTGGTAGGTGGAGGAGCAAGGGTAGTGTATTAGTAGGTTGGGGAGCAGGGACACAGTGGTGGTAGGTGGGGGAGCAGAGGTAGTGTAGTGGTGGGTGGGGGAGCAGGGGGCACAGTGGGGGAGCAGGGGTAGTGTAGTAGTAGGTAGGAGAGCAGGGGCACAGTGGGTAACTGGGGGGCAGAGGCAGAGTGGGAAGGGGGGAGCAGGGGCACAGAAGGTAGCTGGGGGAGAGAGGGCACAGTAGTGCTAGCTGGGGAAGCAAGGGGCACAGTGGGTAAGCAGGAG